GACACACATCTCTTCAACCTCTGTGCCGCTTGCGGTGGCCAGTATCTGGCTCTTTGGGAAAGGTACTCTGGTACGGCTGCCGTGTGCTAAGCAAAGTACCAGGCCTCTCAGCTAGTAGAAACCTGGGTTAGGGGCCAGCAGGTGAAACGGAGGTTACGGCTGCTGGGCCCACATGGCCAACTGCACGGTTTGAGTCCCAAACCTGGTGGCTTGAAAATCACACTGGGTACCCGTGTGTGCATGCTTAAAATCTCAAGAGGAAACAGAGGAGAGGGGATCAGCGGGGCTATCCCCACCCCTTCCCCTGGGAGTGATTTCTCACTTTCACTCCTACCCCAACCCCTGGCAAGTGCACGTGCCCTATAGCAAAACAGAAGGAAAAACTTAGGGTAGGATGATCAGCCTCGCCTGCCAGTCACTGTACTATGATTGGGGGTGGAGTGGAGAGACCCTCTCAGCACCTCCAGCCAAAGACCACCAGCAGTAAACACACGAATAGTAAATGGCTCATTAACTCCACGGAGGTGGGTTCTCGTTATAACAGTGTTAGAAATGACGGCATTGGGGTTTGTGTGAGGAGAATTCAGAGAACTGGGGGGTGGTTCTGGCTTGGAGGCGCTCAGGAAGCAGGAGCAATTCTGTGTGTGCACATCTTCGCAGCTCTTACCGAGAGCAGGGAGAGTGAGTGACTACCACGGTAATGTAGGAGAGTGGCCATCACTCGTTTCACCTGACAGGGAGCTGTTTAGTATGCTGCGGTTTGCACAGTGACCTTGTTCTGATAACTAAGTGCCATTTAAAAAGAAACTATGGGGGAACCAGCAGTTAGCGTAATGGCTATGTCGCTGGACTCCCACGTAGTCGACCGCGGTTCACGTCCCGGACCCGGTGGCTTAAAACTCACGCCGGGCGCGTGTGCGTGCGTGCCCAAAATCCCGAGAGGAGAATGGAGGAGAAGGGATTGCGGCGTGGCCATCCCCCCTGGGGGGTGATTTCTCGCTTTCTGTCTCTATGTCTCTCTCTGTCTGTCTGGCAAGTGCACGCGCCCTATAGTGAAAATCTCTCAAAGAAAAAGAAAGAAACTATGGGGGCCAGCAGGTGGCGTGGTGGTTAAAGGCGCTGGCTCCCACATGGCTGACTTCTGCTCGAGTG